TAGTTGTTGATTTACCAGGTCGAAAACCGTGCTGGCTATTTGTCAAAATATTATGCTCATTGATAAAATTCATCAGCCTGTCCAAAAATCCATATTCGAAAACTTTCGAGAAACTACTGCAAATCTTTATAGGTCTATAATTTTCCAAGTTATCGGGACAGTGTTTTTTATAAATAGGGATGACTTTTCCTTTCTTGAGGGTTGTGGAAAATTTTCCTGTTTCACATGAAAGATTCAATAAAAATGTCAAAGGTCTTATTATAACATTCATAACTTTTTTCAAAACGAAAGTGGGTATTTTATCTGGACCTGCAGATGTTTTATTTTTCAGCCTATCACTGAGCGGATTGAATAATTCATCAGGTGAAAACGGTCTGAGAAATAAAGAAGATATAAGAATTTCTTGGGTATTGTTTACTGCAGTATTTTCATATATAAACGCCCCCCTGGGGGGGAGGCGGTTGGAATACTTGAAAATTTTGTCTTAGTGCGCATCTAAGACCCAAGAAGCACATACATGCCAAATTGCAGCTCCCTACGACTTGTCAGTACGGAGAAACAGAGATGAATGTGTGACTGTTAAGTGAGTGACTTTCGTGTAGATCTCTATCTGTATTCGTCGAAATTTTCCCAGCAAATCGGGAACAAAGGTACAACGTTGGTTGTTAGATATGTATGTTGTTATCGGATTTGTGATGATTGCGTTATAAGTATATGTGGGTTACTATTTCTACCAATTTCATTGAAAGCTCTTCCTATAAAATGATGCCGATACGCGTTTTCCGCGTATCGGAAAAAAAAATTATCAATGGTTATTCCTCTTCAAGATTACGAACTGAATTGTTAACTATCGTGACGAACTGAAAAAATCTGACTATAGTTTTTTTTACAGTAGGTCAGGTTATGGTTCCAGATAGCCAATACATCGTCAATATATCTCCGCCATATATTTGGGTTGATATCACAAGTCTCGGTGTATGTTTCCGTTTGTCATTGAAAATGTCATGGAGTAGAATAAATCCAAAATGAGTGTCTACCTTATCTCCTCAAGACGTCAACTTTGTTCTAAATCTAAAGCAAATGAACTTCAAGCCAGTCTCTATATACCTACACAGTAGGTATATCGGAATGATGCTTTAGATTTGTTGACTGCCAGTCTTCAAGCATAGCCCACAGACTAATAAAAAAGTTTTTCTTCCTTATTCAGAGGAATCGAGCAAATTACGGATATGCAGTTGGTTAGTACCTCGTCCACTAGATGGAGTGACATTTTGTCGTTCCCTCCAACTTAGGAAGAGGAATGAAATACTCTGAAAGAATTCCGATTTTCAATTGTGAAATATCATTGACTTTAGGTCGATGATGGTCATTATCTTGCACTGATGAGTGGCTAATAAGCCCGAAACCGGTCTGCAAGTGTGCCCGTTCCATAATTGAAGGTCGACTCTTTCAGTTGTATTGCCAATTGCATATGCAGGAAATTTTCTGTGAAGATTCCTGCACTGACGCCTGTCGGATATAATCCAACGCCCTTCGTGGTATTAGCCAGGGAAGTAGTTGTTTTCTGATAGGCGTCAGTCCATTAAACCTACTGTGTAGGTATATAACGACTGGCTTGAACGTTTAAAGTTCATTTGCTTCAGATTTGTTGACTGCCAGTCTTCAAGCATAGCCCACTGACTAATAAGAAAGTCAACTTTGTTATTAGAACGCACGTCGTTCACTTCTGATGTTTAGGAACAGTGCTTCTTAGGATATTACTTCGTTCTATCATTACACTTTAGCAGATTCTGTATTGAGTCAGCTCTGTTTATTTCTCAGATTGTGAAAAGTAAAATAACCAAAAATCAGTAAGAAATATCATTTCATTTTGTTTCGAAAGGAAAAAATATTGAAATGCCGATTTGTTGAGCTAATTAACATAATAATTCAATATGCATATGATCATTTCAATGTTGATTGAACAAATGTATTCCAATTGAAACAGGAATATTTAAATGTCAATATATATGATGATTATTAATTTCAGAAAATGAGATCCCACAGCGGTTTCCACATTTGAATCTACATTCACACCTTAACGTTATCTACAAAGCTTTTCAACTCTATTGTGATTAATACATTTTCCATATAACTAACAAACCCGAAAATGTAAATATTATTTGAAAGATATTATTTTCTGTGAAGGAGTCAATCACTATATACAGGTGTGGGAGAGTGAATATTTTAGTACACCTCGATAAGTTACTGCGTTAATTAAAAGTATTTCCACAGAGTAAAATGTTCTATTCGCCAGTAATTTGTCGTATTCAATAATTTTGCTCATCAAAAAAAAAAACTAAAAAACTCTACCGATACTCGTACTTAACGTTTTGAAGGATAAAATCTAGTGAAGTCTTCAACCTTTCATGATAAAAAACGCTGATTTGCTACACAAAACATGGCGTTTGTTTGTTAGCAGTTTTGAGAAAGTCAAGTATTAACACTTCATGTTTTAAACATTCATTTAATTTGTAAGCATAATTTATAAACACGAATTGCACTCGTGGAATATTTATATTGAGCATTAACTTTATAATTTACCCTTTCTTACACTTGACCAGATTCTGTTTTCATCTATGTTTTTTTTATTCACAGTAGGTTCAAAAACAAAAAAGAAACCAATTATGCAATTTTTTCCTTTTTGACATCTGACATTCGGCAGAAATGATATCTGTTAATTTTCTACGACACATATGGGTCATATGATTTGCCCACACTGAAAGATTTTGAAAAAATCTTTCGAAATACATCGTAGTATCCATCATACTGTACTCATTCATTGAGTTGCAGTTTCTAATTGCTTCATCATAGTTATCTTCAGAGACTCACTGAATGTGAAAAGTTTCTTTTGTTACAGATGTAAACAGATGTAACAGAAATGAATCAGTAGTAGACTTCTCTTTTTTATTCATATGTTTTCGTTCTTCTTTTCTAATCAAACTGTTTGAAATCTGTTTTTCCGTTAATCACCGTTAATCTATGAACAACAAATCTCAAAAGTCGAAACTTGTGCGAGCTAAGGACTAACGAGGTAGCAAAGCATCCACGTCAACCTGACCGGCTACCGTCCCACCCATTTTTGTTATTTGAAATTCATTTTAACTTTCATATTCAAATCTCAACTTCCTTAGTCATTTCTTTCAATAATTTTTTTATGACTCTTCTCTACTCCATATGAATAGTTTATTAATTTAACTTCAGAAAAACCACTAAAATGGTTCAAATTTGAGGAGTCCTCAAAGGGGTCACTTGACCTATTGCGTTATAAAAACCTTAGCGCATTATCAAAACATATGGTACGAGAAATATAGAAACAAAAACAAACTTGAAAAACTAACACCAATATAAAAATAATCAGTTTATTCATCGTCACAGTTCATGTAAACATAAGTGCCCTGACACTAGAAGTGTCATGCCACCATTTTTGGCAAGTAGTGCATTGCCTCACTCTTCTCCTAGTAATTGTCTGATTGGGACTTAGAGCACACTAGACAAAAATATAATCTTCTTCTTCAGTATCCGACGGAAGTTATCTTTTCTTTACATTTTTCTCCTTTGTCTTGTTTCAAACATTTTCATTAGTTTTTTTATTACGGTGATTCTCTTCATCAGACTCTGAGAAACTTTCGAAAATTGCTTTTTCCACTGATTTTATCTCGGACTTGTTTATCTCATTGCAGGTTTCACCTTTTCTTTTACGTTGTTCTAAAAAAGAAAATTTTTTCAAGAGTGTCGGTCAAAAGGCGATTTTTTTTTAAAGTTCTCATCATAAAATGAAAAAAAAAACGTTCGCGTAGAAATATTCGAGAGTAGCGTTACTAAGGCATTGAAATGTAGTTGAGCAATACTTTGATACAGAGTTCAACCACATTACCTCCATAAAAAAATTGAACAGCTCATGCGCGATACAGAATTTTTCTTGGTGTTCTATCTACACATTGACTTGTATACAAAGCTCATGCGCAATGCAGAACTTTTCTAAGTGTTCTATCCACACAGTGACTTCTTTACTTATGTTACTGATGTGTTACTTATGTAACTAGAATCTAAAATGGAATTCCAATACCAACAGACTAAAGTCGACGTACCTATGTAGGTATTTCATTTCTGTTGTGCTCTTAAAGACAGCGTTGCTAATCGAAAATTATCAAATTCCTCAATTTCGCAATAAAAATCACAATTCGAAATTCGTCGTACCATTCCCCACTCATGCGCGATATCAATTACATAGTTTCGGAAGAGATGGTAAGACTGGATGTCAATGCCACGGCACGTGGCCAGAAAAGAAATTTATTTTTATAACTCTTGATTTTTTCGTTGTAAAAACATAGATGGCGCTCTTATATATGAAAAATTAAAAAATAGTAGCATACTAGTTCAAAAATTTTTTTATTCGCTACATTCGGCTGTTTACTTGTTAATGAAGTGCTTTCGAAATCTTTTCTTCAAATTTCGTGAGAATATAATTTATGTGAACCAATATTCCTCGCCATCTGTTAATTTCAAATTCGTAATGTTGTTGACGTTCTCTTAATACATGAGAATATATTGCGTATCGAAATAATAAAAGAGGTTCAGTGGTGGCTTTTTTCTGCTATAGTGTGTAATTAATGGTGAATTCTTGTTTAATTCGATATATCTTTATTATTCTTCCACTTTTTTTTATAGATCTTTTTTATTAATTTTCTAAGGAATATGTGAATTCTAATATTATTTTAAACTTAAGTTCGGAAAAAAATCCTCCTCATTTTCTTTTGTAATAACTTTCTGATAAAAAAATAGATTATCACCTCCTCCACAAGATTTCGAACAAGCTGTCAACCCGGTGATCTTCCAGTGAAAATGTTTTCTCCTTAGCCTAGTTCTGCGATGGGGTACAGGAGGCCTAGCCTCGTCTCTTTGATTGAAGGAAGTATTGAAAGACGTATCGAGTTTTCTTGTTTCTAACACCATCGGTTCGATTATCGGTCGTTTTATTGAAGGTGGAGCTATAGCAGGAATTTTAGCGATCGGCAACGAATATCCGTACTTGATACCATAGTTGGTTTGATAGTTTGGAATATTTGGAGGTATTCTGGAATGTTCAGGAAAATTCTGTAGAATCTCATATCATTGTGGAACGATGTGGTAGATTTCTGTCCATACATTCTTGTCCATACATTTTCTACTTTGAAGGTTTGCTTTTGAAGATATAGCTGGAAGTTTCGTCCTCTAGAGAGTTATAGAACAGTTCAGAATAATCGAAAGAATCTGAGAGCATTCCACAACATTCCAGAACATCCCGGATTACTGTGTAATGTTCGATGATACTCTTGAACGTTCAGGGACACCTCGTGACATCCCAGATCACGGTGGAATGATGAAGGAAGTTATACGTTACGGTAGCCATCTATCCCCCAATCGTGGAAATGGGCCTCTCTTGAAGATATGGGTATTAGTATAGTCTGAAACGATTGGTTATGTCCCAGAACAGTCCATGTGATTGTGAAGTATTCCAGAACGGTATCTAATATGGAATCTTCTAGAACATCATAATCTATTCGAGTGGGGATACCAATTGTTAGCCGTCAACCTTTTATGATTTGAACTTTAAACTCTCATTCCAGCTATCACACTATCTCATATCAACCCCAAGCGAATTCGGGTACCCAGCTAGTAACTAGTAATAATGAGCTCGGATACAATCAACAAAAGTATGTTCACAACTATTAATTTTGATTCTGAGATAGCAGAGTACCTATTTCCCAAATACAAATTAAAAACATTAGTTTGTCAAGTTGCTTCAATTTATTTTCTCATGCAAAAGTTTTAATTTTTCAATGATTCTCGAAGGGAAATTATAATATGCATAAAATGCTTACGGTAACTAACGTATACAGGGCGTTCTAATGACAACTTGACACCCCATCAAAGTCAGAAACGGACGAAAATGTCAAAGAGCACGTCAATTTTTATTTCAAGGGGGACTAATTCTGATTTGAAAATCATACCCCCTGCGGTCAACAACTACCCCCGCTATTTTTTTCAATTGCATGGGGGGTCGAGTGATACATCATTCGAAAGATCTTTTGTCCCTCTCTCTGTAACTTTTTTCGAAATTGGCACACTCGTTATTGAGAAATTAAATATTGAACTTTTTGTTTGAGAAAAAACAGAAAAATCGCTGTCGTTTATTCAACAACAAATAATATCAGTGGAAACAAAATCTGGGACGGATGCATTATTCAAAATGACCTCCACCTAGTTCCATACAATAATACAGTCTACTGTACATTATTCAAGATGTCCAGAGTCAGCGATCGGCATTCCCAAACCATTCTCTGTCGCAGATCTAGTAGATTCGTAGGCTTAGTAGCACCTTTCGAGGTGCATACATTATTTTGACGGATAATCAATTTGAAATTTAACGAAAATTAAAAAAACTTTCAATAGCTGCTCAGAAAGCTCATGTTATTTCCACTACCTAGTGTGTGTTGGGTTTTCTATAGAAGATTTGCGTCCAGTGTGTCCTGACCTTCATGGCTATCCATAGCACACTGGACAAAAGTTAATAAACCATCATCCAGTATTTTCCAGCAAATTCAATTTATGTTATTATCCCATTTGCATATTATGTAACCCAAAAGAATGTTGGCGCCTTAATGCGGTAATAATTTGAATAATGATGAAATGAATATGCAAATTCCTGCAACTAAGAAGATATACCACCAATGAACCACTACCTGGGTTTGCTCGACTACCTGTTTTGGTCTTATTACTTGAGCTGCCTGTCCTGCCTCTGTTATCTCAGGCCAAACTGTTGAAGCATATGATTCAAATGACATTTCCGGTTTGTTTCTAACCTCACTGATATAAAGACGATTATTGAAATAAATTTACTGAAATCATTATTTGTTTTGAAATTACTGAAATCATTATTTGTTTTGAAATTATGGATTACCAGTAAAAGCCATGTGGTTGAAGAACAAAGAGAGAGCCAAAAAATAATTGACAATGACAGCTGTCGTGTGATTCAGTTCGAAAAGGTGTGTTTGTTTGTCTATGATGAAACTATAGAATGGAAGAGAACTATTGTGGTGCAAATGTGATTAGAGACACCGGCTGTTATATAAGTAAATCAATGAGGAAACCCCAATATCAAATATGTCCAATTTAAAATTAATTAATTGACAATACCCTTTTTAGTTTTGAGAAAAAAAAAAGTGTTGTTGAAAGAAAGTAGAACCCTGCCATAGGGAGGTTGGAACTTAGTTCAAAATATCTGAAATGTTATGAATTATATTAATGAAAATCCAGAACCATTTCTGGTTTGGAAATCATGTAATTTTTTATCAATATCTAGTAGGAAGGTATAGATTTCACTGAGGTGATCAATGTCTGATCTTCTATTAAGGCAATTATTTGGTTGTAATATAAATGACATTTCGAAAACCAATCTTTTAGATGCATTTCTCTCAGGATGTAATCTAATGATTCTATCCTTGAGTAGTCTTGACGTTTGACCAATATATTCACTACTACAATTCAAACATGGAATTGAATATATTATTTGAGATTGGAAGTTTACGTTTTGAAATAAATGTATTAATAGTTGATATGGTTTTGAAAGCTATTTTTACATTCAAATTTTCATAATTTTTTTTTATTTCTACCATTTCGTATACTGTCATTAGTTTTGAAAATGGTTTATAAACCGCGGATTGAAATAACGTGTTTGTATTAGAGACCTTGTTGATCCTTAACTCGCACATGTTTCGAGTTTCGAAGGTTGTCGTTCGTAGAGGGGTGAAAAACAGAATTCAAACAGATTTTTGATATGGAAAATTTGTAACAATAATCATCCCGGGAGAAATGCAAGACATAAATATGTATTGGATTCATTAAATATATTCATGGAAACTGGTTAAGTAACTAATATACCATATGACTGTTCAGCAATTATAATAATGAAGGCATTGATGTAGAAGTTCTGGTTCATGATGTCCTGTTTAGAAAATACGTAGTCTTCAACCAAGTTGACTCAAGCATCAAGAGTGAGTTGTACAAACGTTTTCAGAATTATTCAATTGACATAAAATCCTTCCTCACGAATTGAAAATGATTCATGATGTGAACGAAAATGATTTCGACAGATGGATTGAATTTTGTGAGATCCTCTCAGAAAATGTAAACGGTAATCCCTCTTTGTTGTTTCTCGGATGAATATAATTTTCATTTGAATAGACAATATTTTCGATACTGCAGTGATTCATTTTCCGAAATGGTACGACAAATTTACTCCTAATATCCCCAAAAAAAAAATGTATACAGAAAAGTAAACCTAAAAAGTTAAGTATACTTCAATTTGCTGAATGATCAAAATGACCCAAACATTGCTAAATGGAGGTTTTTCACCAAGCTGGGGTTCCTGTCCAGTGCGTAGTACCAATGCAACAGTTACTCTATAACTTTTTGGGTAGCTGGATTGAAAGTAAATGTTTTACAGAATGCATTGCTGTATACCTGTTTCTATGAGGATGATTGGGATCAAAAGCCCAAGAGGTGGAACCAACTACTCAATTTACGGGAAGAAATTATGCCCTAGGTGCTGTAGGCTACTAACACCTGATAGTATTCAGAATGTAGAGGAGACATATACGCTCATTCCAGTCATTATCTGCAAAGTGGATAATTCTCAATTCGAATGCTTGATAAATCAATTTTTTGTTCGGTTTTACTTCCTGGTTCGACATTAAAACGTATTTTATCTTTCCTCTTGTAACGTTGCAACGTCGGATATATTGTTGTAAATCATGCCCTGGAAAAAAATTACGCCGGTCGCCACAAGTAGCCATACACCAATTGTGACGTAGCTGCGAGCGAGCGATTGTTCGATATTCGCTGCTGCTCTAGATGCAGCGAGAATAATGCTACCGATTTCGATGGAATGTCGACGAAATTTTCTAGCGCATTCGATTAGGTACGATATATAAACGCTAGCCACCACCATATTGACACAGTGAAGTGGAAATTACAGTGCGGTATGCGAAACGATCTAGTAAAGCGATAGACATTCGAATAATAGTTGAAGTTTTAGTTGCAGTGTTTATTGTATTTCAAGCGAAATAGAGTTTAGTCTGATTATTCAGTGTAGTCAATACAATATTACAAGATGGGATACGGGATTGAAATACTTTTCAAATCGCGATTTTTGACAGTTGGGTAGTTATAGGAAGGGGTTAACAGACAAGAGGTTGTTGTTTACGTAGGAATTACGTAAAATTTTTCTCAGTCTCAATATCGAATGACTTATTCAAAATTGACTCGTTTCAACAGGAATCTACTGTATAATAAAGTTAATTATTTTTATTTTTGCAATATACTATCAGAGGAAACAAAAACTAAGTGAAATTTTGTACTTATAATTTCATATGGCGATGTTTTCTTAGAGAAAGCGACTGTCGAATATTGAGAAGAGATTCGCCAACTGAAAATGTATCAAGATCAATGAAAAATCTGCTACTATTATTCTTACCAAAAATTCGTTTTGATTTTCAGAAAAAGCAGTAACATAACCTACGAGGTGGTGGCCACTGATGGCAAAACATTTTCATTGTAATTTTTCTGTGATGAGTTTGTTGAAGAGTGTCGAGGAAAGATACAACAAAAAAAATATTTTCAATTGAAATTGACATTGAGATCTGACAAAAACCTGCAGTGCTTTTTGTGATAAATCAGTTCTGCATTGGTAAGAAGTACTCCAAAACCACTCTTCAGATGATCATTTAATTGATATTAGCCATGTCCTGCTGCTGAATAAACGATAAGCAGAATAGTTCTCTATGGGAAAACTTGAAGAAATACCTCTAGGATTAAAATCAATAATTGTCATGATATTAGTCAGAGAAGTAACAGTTTTTTGACAAATGTATTTCTTCCCAGCGCAATCATCAGTCTGGATTAATTTCTCTTCAGAGTTTTGGTGCAAGATATGCTTTTTTTCTATTTGGGGCAACTATCGGATACATAAAACATTTCCATTCTGGAATAAAAGGTTTGTATAAGCAGTGGATGAAATCAGTTGTGTATCAGACGACACTGCTGTCTTAGTTAGATTTGTCCTGTGGTGATGAAGAGTAACATGTCAAAACCAGTCTGAAGATGATAATGCGATTATTTCAAGCAAAGTCCTGCTATTGTATGAACAACAAGCGCCTACAAGAATTTCTACTGTGACAAATCTTGCACAAATATCTGTCGCATATAATCCAATATCTGATGTAGTATCAGACAGAGAAATAACAGGAATTTACTAGATCTCCTGTGGAAGCAGGTCAAGAGAAGTAAAATAATTTCTATTTGAAATATTTATTTTATTTCATTTTCATCACCCACTGAAATTTTTGAAAAGTAATACAGGCTGATTGACTGTGGATGTCACACTAGACATTTCTGGTGAACCAGACACCAGTGTATTCGAACATTCTCTACCCAACTAAAATATTTTCAACAATACGCTGTTGCCACTTTTATTAGGAATTAGTGGAAACTTTGATTTTTCGAAAGGAACCTCTATGATTTCTATATTCTTTTTCCTTTTAATTTATATTTTTCAGTCAGAAAACAATTTTGAAAGCAATGTATTCTAAAAATGTCACACTCAGTTATATCATTTCCCTAAACATACGAATCACATTTATTCACAAACTATACCATTAGATACGCTACTGGAGTCGGAAATTAGTATTGAAATGATTTATGGAGCACCGTTGTACTAATGACTACAAATTATGCAGTGCCTCAAGTTGGTTTATGTGAGAGATTACTCTACTCTGAGACGAGCAAAAATCAGAGTCTCATATCCAATCCCTTGTGGTCTCAGTTGTTACGATGGTTTCCGGTAGTGTATAATGACATCTTTGAGCAATGAATATTCATGAGGTGAACGACGTTTCTCTAAAGATATTTGAAACAGGATGGTGGATACTGTAATCAGTAATTCGATTTAGAAAAATATGATTTGATTGGTTGTTGATGACTTCTTGATTATTTTTAATTGAAGAAATCGTCAAGGTAACCTTGATATTACACAATAAATGAAATTTATAGAGTATTCACTCAAGCAAGCTGAGTTGTGGGAAAAGTGCATACAAAAAATGAATGGTTTTCTCATGATGAGTAATTGAGAATTTCAATCACAGACTTTAATTCATACAGATTTACAGGTAGATAATCCGCCAAATGTTTCATTTCGGCAAATACATTATTTGTCAATGTTGTGTTAATTTCGAGATTTGGATTTATATTATGGTTTTTTTCAAAACTTGGTATTTATCTTTTTTATCTTATTAGTTGTGTTATGCAGTACCTACATCATATCATTTCAACGGCATCTTCTGGTTACACATAAAAAATATTATTTTATTTTCGAATATAGACCTTTTATCTTGAATATCAAACCAATCAGTTACCAATGAGTTGCTTTCATTGATATCGAGATGTATTGGTTACATCCCCAACTACGAATCTGAATAAATACGAGGTCCGGCTATTAAATAATGAGACTGCGCTACTAGAGGGCGTCCTAGGGCGGTGAGGAAAATAACGAGTAGTGTTTTGGGCATCTGGAAGTCTTCTCTAATCACTTACCAAAACACGTTTTTGTCACCATTATAGTATTTGTACAGTAGCGGTTTGAAAAAAAAGTGTTTTTTCCCGTGCCGAAAACCAAGTGTGACGAAAAACAGGAGCAACGTAATAATCTCAAATTTCTCGTTGAATTAAAAAAAATTAAAAAAAATCCGTTGCAATTGTTGCAAGAGGCCTAGGGGTCAATTATCCATCTCGTGCGCGTGTTTTTGAGTGTTGTAAGCGCTTCAGTGAGACTCGAGATAGCAAGGATATCCAAATGAAAATTCAAGGCAATGTTGACCGTTTTTATTCGACATTAACGGTATCGTAAAGTTATTACGGTTGGGTTTATTACGGAATGTGTTCCAGAGGATTAGACTGTCAACCAGATTTACTATTTGTCAGTTTTGGCAACACTGCGAGATCGCAAGAAACGGTCCGAGTTGTGGAAGAACAACTCGTAGATTTTGCAACAGTACAATGCACCTGCCCATAACGCGCTATCTGTGAAGCGGTATTTGGCTGATAAACGCACTCCAGTGCTCGAACACGCGGCGTACTTTCCAGATTTGGCACCGTGCGACCGTGCACCGTATTCATAAGAAATGGGGACGGAAGGTTATACTGATTGCAGGTATATATTTTATTACATGCCTTTTGCAGAAGTTCAAGAAGAGTGTTTTTAATGTCTGCAGCTAAAATTTCAGTTCTTCGTGTATTACTTCTCGCTGACAATGGAATACTTTGAATTGCAGAGACAACAACTTTTTTTCATTCGAAAAGTGACGTAACTACTGCCAACATACATTCCTTCACTATCCCAGAATCTGAAAATGGTTTATGGTGTTTATTAAGCGTCCAGCACACACATAACGCTGCTTCTGTGGATTTTTCTTGGTCGCTCATGCAACGAACTGGTAATTTTGTAATCTTTTCGTATGCACTGAGATATGTCCGATTTTTTTCTTTACGAGCCTGACTGCCGAGAGAAGAGTTTTTGTGGAATTGCTGATGAGTTGTTTCGTAGTGTCGCTTCAAATTTCCACTTTTTACAATAGCGACGGTTTTATTGCGTATAAGGCCCACTGGAACCGCTTGAGGCCTATCAGGCAGCGTAAAACAATATTGATCAATTCATTATGCCGAAAACCTTCTATTTTCACTGTCGACCTTTCGTTTTTTAGGATCCATATCAACGTAGGTACAGAAATATTTTTTATCAAACTAACGAAAACGGTAGAAATCATAAAACAAAATTTGTGTTATTTCAATTGATAAAGGTATGGTATACCTCATCTACGAATTTTTATATGTACGATATGTATTTTATATATAATACAATATTTGGGGCGGTCCGCGCGTCAACCTTTCACGATCCGTAAACGGACCGCGGTCCGCCTGTTGCTGACCGCGGGTCTTATAACTTTGTTCCAAACAATTTTTCAATGAAACGGTCGTGGCAGGCACTAGAGGCAAATACTCGTAATTGGCAAAAAGGCGGGTGAAAATGATTTTTAATTGATTCGACAAATATGAAAAATTCAATAAGTGTTCATTTTCTGGAAAAAAATACTTTGAAATTTCATTTCTCCATATTTATGACGAAAAAATGTGAATGATTTCTGATTCAATTTCATAACGAATGTTTAGAGTACAGTATAAATAGGAAAACGTGTTTTTTTATATAATTCAATGTTTATATGAAAGTAGTTTTTTCGAGAGGACTTTTTCTCCTAATTCGTGTCTGAAAGTTACTTTTCTGCATAATCTACACTTCTTCTTGAAAAGTTCATTTAGAAATTAATTGCTTTCTTCCTCTCTAGAAAGTAGAAAGTCAAAACTTTTCTTTCCAAAAAAATAATCTCCTCTGAAAATGTACCTTCTCCAATTTTCTATTTTCATTCAGAACATATTTTTCTAGAGTTCACCGTTTCCGAGATATAATCTTCAAATGACTTCTGCCCTTCCGCCCTATGCTCACCGCTGTGGGGCGGAACCTTCTACTATGATTTTCTACTAACTACTTCTAACGAAGCTCTGTAGTCAAAAACTTCGATATATTTGATGCACTGTATACCTAATCTATGAGTACTCATCAATCGGACTAACCTGCTTGCAGTGAAAGCTGCAGATAGAGACAGAAGGTGTATCTCGTTGGACAGTCAATGTTGAAGCTTGGATTTGCAACAGAGTGACTTTTGAAGCCTCGTTTTTTATTGATTTGTTTGTAGTTTTCTATCGATTCCATAGATGGAGTCTGGTATATGATCATGAAAGCACGCTTTTGTGCCTGCATATGCGATTGGGTTCACAAGGATTTGAATGGGTTTTTTTATCAACCAGGTTCAGTTACCAGGCGCAGAGTATGATACTTGTGCGAACTGATGAGATTAATAACCGAAATCGTGCAGTTTCCAGCATGGATACTGGATTAGGATTTATTTTGATAAAAACAGTCATGAAGTTATACTGATTTTGCTGTTTTTTAATGACCCAGATATTTCATGTTACATGTTTCATTCACTTTGTAAAACAGCAATGGAACACTTTTAACGTAATAATTCCTCATGATTACGTGAAATAGTTTCATAGCATAAAATATCTCGAAAATGGCAACCCTGAATAACAAATTTCTGATAGTTCAACTCACCTAGAAAATTCCTGGTGTGTTTCAACTGTTGAACAAGCACCCTACAGGCTCCAGCTGGAATCTGGGCAACCAGAGAGTAGCCGGGTGGCAGGTCAGGTCGAGTATAAATCCCATTTATACTCCTACAGGTGCCCTTCAGGCAGGCTGCGCACTCTTCCTGCTCCTCGTCAAGGCTACCTATGACGCCGCGAGAGTTCACAACCTGAAAAGAGAAGTGAGTATCTGTAATGATAGGTATTATTATGATTTATACGACTGTACGTGTTGGTTGCAGGCGACAATTCGCAGATTGAAATTGATATTGTTCGATTTATTCTTTTAATTGGGCCTTCAGGTGACAAATATTGAAAAAAGAGCTTTTGCGTAATATGATAACCATTGAATCGATTTTTCAGCGTTTCGTGTGATACATAAATCTGAATAATTTGATTCTTTTCATTTCACTGTATCCAGTATTCCAATAATTTGACTTTTACGGATTTGAATATAATGTACTGTTCCTCAATTTCATTTCGTATTACTGAGTAAAATGAGTTATCAGCGCTAAGTTACTTCCAATTACATCAGAAACGTTATTGAAATAATATTGAAAACATGTGTTTTGAACCTCTCTCATCACATCACGTAATAGCTATGGTTTATAGTGAATAGTGAATAATGAAAATGCCGCAAAGAAGTATCTCCTTATTGAAAGTCGAAAAATGAAATATCAAAATTCAGAACATTCCGAAAAGAAATTTCAATGCTATATATCTATGAATTCCATCTAACTATCAAAAAACTAAGATGACCATCATAAATAATCCAATACTAACGAGATTAGCCTCGAATCGATTTTCGAAGATTGACGGAGATAGGCTGTAGCTGAGCATGTAAAATGCCTCAACTGGCGTATCTCCCACATAATAATCAGTAATGATGAAAAAAGTCGGATGAAAGGAGACCGGCAGGTGAATTTAATAAGAAAATAAGACGTTATCTTCGGGTTCGCCGCCATACAACTATTAAAACGTCTTCGTGCACTTAAATAATTGGTGATGTCAACAGCATCCTTAAATGGTGAGGAGTAAGTGGAGTTCCAATTACTGGAAACGTTAAAAACCACACTCGCTCCCATTTATATGTAAATAATAATAAATGTCAATCACAAAATGTTAACATTTAATTATCAACAATCAGGTTGAATTCATCAAAAGAGAAAATATAAAGAACAAAAATCGTTGATCAGAAGTTTTGTAGTATGAATAGTTACAGTAAAACCAAGAATAAAATTCAAGAATTAATGTGATGAATACCGATAGTTTTTCAAAGACTATCGACAGTTATATAGTATAATTTCATAATTCTGGTGAAGTTTGAAAAAAATTAAGTCACCGTGACTTTCAAATTTCATTTGAAATTAGTATTTTTTCGTGTAAAAACATCATTGATTAGTGACGTGTCGGATATAGAGTTAGGCTTTATAACTTACGAAACTATAATTGGATATTTTTTATTTTAACGAAAATGATTCAAAAGTCTATTGATTGCCTGATGAAAAAATATACAGTATTCAAATGACGATTTGGTGAAATGGATTTCATCGGTAAATACCTATATATGTTGAAATCGTAATTCGTCAACACACTATTGAATCTGTTTTTTCAGTTAGTTAGCCAATGAAGCTAAGAGTCTAACAGAATTAACTGACTAAATGTAAAAAATATCTGATGAGAAAATGAATTACACTGAGATTATAGGTTATTTCAAAAGTTTTGTCCGAGTTCATGAGTCTACTTCAAACTGTATTATCTTAGTGAATACCGATTCAGTTTATTCGAAATGATCGTCATTTGAATTTGTACACTTTTATCAACGTACCACAGGTCGATTAATTCCGTCAGCATAAAAATTGTGTGTTCGAAAGTCGATGATGGCCGTTTTTTCCTGGTCTTAATTGGCAGCGCCAAAACATCCGGCAACAGAAACGATGTCTTTCAAAAAAGTATATATCAATTTACAAATTTTTTACTAAAAATGTAACATTATTTGAAAAAATATACTATGGATTTCCAATGAATAAAAGCATATCATTATTCTACAGTGTGTCTCACTTCTCATAGAAACACCCCCGTATCTTCCGTAATATTCGAGGTAGAACGATGAAACTCTCAGGACTGATTGAATGCTCAAAATGCACCCACCACCTGAATGGGGTTGGCCAAAGTGATATACACTGTCCGCCACTCGCGACGGAACACCCCATTTTTACGGTAAAACATATTAGGGGGCAAAATAGGCTCATAATTCCTTCAGATTCGTGATCAAAACTACCGACTCACCACGAATTCACTTTTTTTCTGAAAAAATTTCAGTCCGAATTTGTCTCATTTCTTATGGAAACACCCCCGTATCTTCCGTAATATTCGAGGTGGAACGATGAAACTCTCAGGACTGATGGAAATGCTCAAAATGCACCTACCACCTGAATGGGGTTGGCCAAAGTGATATACACTGTCCGCCACTCGCGATGGAACACCCCATTTTTAGGTAAAATATATTACGGCGCAAAATAGTTCGCTTCCAATACCTGAACCCCTTCATTCTATCTGGAGAGTACTCTCAGGTATGAAAGATACAGATGCTGTGAGATGCTATCATCCATTTTGAGCCTATCTGAGGAAAATGTCACAGCACCACATTCTCAGATTATCGAGATAGTGTGAAGCAGTGTATGAAAAATTATCGATGGCGGCATCTATTATAACTGAAAAAGATTATTCGTGAAACTAATTCTGGTTGCTGTACATCCAAATTCTATCCCAACCAGAAGTGGGAGCTCTCGATTGATGAGCAAAAACTGCAAAGAATGGAAAAAATCTATATTCAAAGGTTCACATCTCGAAAACTGTACAATTCTGAGCTTTGGCTGCGGACACTTTCAATTAGCACATTAAGAACTACAACATATCAAATCTTCGGCAAAATTCAAGGCAAGCCATTTCTCATAAGAAATGTGCGGGGTCCTTTATCAAAATATTGAGGAAACATTTCACCATCCGAAACCAAATTAATCTTCATACTCATTGCAACACCGAAACAAATGTTCATTTTTAAAAAAAAAATCGCACTGGGTGAACAGGTAGAATTCAGATTATTTTACCTACTTGCTGAATTGTTGTCTGAAATCATTTGAAGGGATTGAATTACATCAGTTTCATTGAATCATGCGGTGCCCTGAAATCACCATGGAAAACAGTTGCTCATTGATATTTACTGTCAACCTGACAATATTGTTGAAAGATCTTGTTGTAATAACCCCCAGACCAGTTTTCATTGCATTTGTTGTTTTTGGTATTGTTGTTCTTTGAATCACCGTTGTTCCTGTTGTTTCTGCCGTGTTTTTGTTCCCATTGTGTTTATTGTTCCTGTATTTGTGTTGGATATTGTTCCTGTGTTCCAGTTGTTTTCTGTTCGTGAGTTGCTGTTCATATTTCAATATTTCTGAAGTTCTCATTTCAACTTATATCAGCTCATTTTAATTGACGAAGTTCAACATGGCACGTCTGTCACTTCAAGCAAAAATTGAAATTGTTTTAATTGTTGGTGAAGGGGCGAGGTCTTATCGTGAAGCGGCCGCTGAATTTAATAGAAGACACCCGGTAGAGATAGCTGTACACCCTGGAACTGTACATAAAATATATAATCTATTCGAGAGCACCGGCCAAGTAACAAAGGACAGAAAAATTGTAAAACATCATATTGATGATGATATGATATTGGCGGCTCATCAAGCTGATCCTAGAATTAGTTTGAGAAACTTATCGCTTCAAGTCATTATGAGCCGCAGTAAAATATGGAGGTGTTTGAAGAGGCATGAAATGCATGCGTTCAAATCCAAATTTTTACATACTTTGCACGAAGGAGATGAAATCAATCCGCCGAATGGAGTATTGTTTATGGATGCAGGAAAATTATCTCAATGGCAGGAAGTATATCTTATACAGTGATGAGGCTACCTTTACCACGAATGGTGTTGTATCTTCCCAGAACATGAGGTTTTGGGCTGAACAAAATCCAAATTGGGTGGTGAATTGTAGAGACCAAATATCTCAGAAAGTTAATGTGTGGTGTGGTATCCTGAACGAAAATATTATCGGGCCATTTTTTTTCGATCAAAATTTAAACGGACGACTATTCGTTTATTTTCTCGAAAATGCATTTTCCGATGTGTTGGAAGAACTACCTTTGGATGTGAGACACAGCAGTTAGATGTTTCACCAGTTCACAATAGTGGCATAACAAGGGTTTGGTTGAATAGGAATCTACCTATGAAATGGATAGGACCCAATAGCCCTCTCGTAGTATGGCCACCACGATCCCCAAATTTAAATCCACTGGATTTATATTTATGGGGAAACTTGACAAATCAAGTTTATAAAGATAGGCCAACAAATAAGGAAGATCTCCGTGCAAAGCAAAAATTATACAAGCGTGTAGAGAAATCACACCTAGAGAACTGAGAAGAGTTGGAGGAAATAATAGAAGGCGCATAGAAAAATGTGTTCGATTGGAGCGAAATTTCATAGAAGGCACGAAAATATAGAATTGTCAACAGTTAAATCATTTGAAATTGATTCTTTTGTTTTTTAATTGAAAATGTGACTTTGAAAGTAGTACTTCGAAAGAATTTTGAACTTCATAACATTTTTCGCCACAAAATATCCTTGTTTTTTTTAAATGATGGGAAAATGAGAATATGAACTAACATTCCCCATTCTAAAATCTCACTGATTACATGTTTCCGTTCCTCTTACAAAATTTACCATTTTCTCTCTTATTGAGAAGGAATAACTTTCCTGACAACAAAATAAAAAATAAATTACTTATGTGAAAATAAAAGTCGAGTTTCTCTTAAACAATTTCGTTCAATTATTACGGAAGATACGGGGGTGTTTCCATGAGAAGTGAAACAAATTCGGATTTTTCAGGACTGAAATTTTTTCAGAAAAAAAGTGTAATTGTAGTAAGTTCGTAGTCCTGATCACGAATCTGAAGGAATTTTGAGCCTATTTTGCCCCCTAATATGTTTTACCGAAAAAATGTGGTGTTCCATCGCGAGTGGCGGATAGTGTATATCACTTTGGCCAACCCCATTCAGGTGGTAGGTGCATTTTGAACATTTCCATCAGTCCAGGGAGTTTTATTTTTTTTAGAGTGTTA